AATTTAATATATAATTTAAATTAAATATTTTTTATATTTTTTATTTAAAAAATACTGTAATAATTTATATTACTTTCAATTATTAATAAAAAGAGGGAGCCCACTACTGCATTCCAATTTTCCTTTTTATTTATCCTTGATTTTTTTTTTTTTAACATTTTTAACATGAGCCCGATAGAATTGTTGCCCGGAAAGGGGAATGAACGTTAAGTGTGGCTAACGCCACTTGGCCCTAGGGGTGGGTAAATGCCGATTTCGGTGAAAACCGATACTGAAAAGTAACTGGCGGACTTTTTTTTTTCCCCTCTTTTTTTTGGTTAAATTTTCATTTTGGTCCCTGAACTATTATACAGACTTCTAATTTAGTCTTTAAACTAAAAAAATCCCTGATTTAATCCCTAAACTATTGTACGGACCCCGATTTGGTCCCCACTGTTTATAATTTGGCCTAAGTTGGTCCTCAAACTATTGTACAGACCCGCCCCAATTTGGTTCTTATTGTTTACAATTACGCCCCAATTTGGTCCCTAAACTATTATTTAACGAAAGGACCAAGTTGAGGTTAAATTGGTAAACAGTAAGGATCAAATTCGGGATCTATATAATAGTTTAGGGATTAACTCAGGGATCTGTACAATAGTTTAGGGACCAACTCAGAGATCCATACAATAGTTCAAAGACTAAATTAGGGATTTCCTTAGTTCAATGACCAAATTAGAGTTCTGTATAATAATTCAGAAACCAAAATAAGAGTTTAACCATTTTTTTTCATGACAGAAACCAATAACGGAATGCTTTTATTTTTTCAGTATTGGATACCGAAAATTTCGGTATTGGATACCAACAATTTCGGTATACCAAAAATTTTGGCATTGGATACAAAAAAAAATACAATTTTTTTTCAATCTATAATAAATTTTTATAGTTTTTTCACAACTATAAAATTATATATCATATTATCGTGTTTTTTCCTCCCATTCTCTTTGTAATCCTTATTTGCTTCTAACCCCTCTTCCTCCTTTTTCATCCTCACCAATGTTCTCTTTCCTTTCTCCACTCTGCAACAGCAAATTTGATGAATATCAAAATCAAAAAAATGAATAACGAAATTTTTGGTGTCCAATACCAAAACCAAAATTTTTGGTATACCGAAACTGTTGGTATCCAATACCGAAATCTTCGGTATGCAATACTGAAAAAATAAAAGGATTCCGTTATGGGTTTCTGTCATGAAAAAAGGAGGAAAGAAAAAGTCCATTAGTTACTTTTCGGTATTGGTTTTCACCGAAATCGGCATATGCCCACCCCCA